TTTAAAGTGAAAGGTGTGATGTGTATGGTCTTATATAAAATCTCCAAAGGTAACGAAATAAAGGCGAAGAATGATATAACGAAGAGTAAAAAAAGGGGAAAACTTGAAAGAAAAAAATATTTTAGTCAAACTCGTTTTTTTTAGAATAGAGTAATTGTTTCAACATATGGATATTTGATTTAACATATTAACATATGCGTTTGGAGTCTTTGTTCAAATCGAATAACATCAAGATTTTACCAAACTACATAAAATGCATATATTACAAATTTTATAGACATAAACGTTCCATCAAATATTATTCAACTCACCAAAAAATAAGTTTCAAAAGGAAATATATAGTTGACTCCATATAGGCATATACTTTCAATTTTTTTTTTTTTTTGCTAACCAAACATATACTATCAATTTAATATAGACTTTCCCTTATAAATAAATTAAAGATTAAATTTGACCAAACAAAGTTTTTTTTTTAGTAATAACATGGTACAATTTTGAAAGGTCGTCTATAAATAAATACATATATTATAGTCAAATTTATTATAATAAAAACTTCAAAAGTTAAATTGTCATGTTAAAATATAATAGAATCATAAATGTTATAAGAGGAAAGACATACATATATAGTTTCAAATGACTTGATCCCATGCTTACAATCCTATGCGATGGTTACAAAAAAAAATTTCCAAAACTTGAAGATAAGATTAGATATCTAGAGCAAAGGGAATTCAAACAACAGATTACATATCAAGAGTAAAGGGAAATCCAGTAGAATTAAGCCATTTGTTACCTTCAATAAACGAACCAACAGCGAATTGGGTTGCTTCCACTGCGCTTTCGATACGCTTAAAACCAGGCCATTTGACCTGGGCCCTTCATTCATATACTCTCCATAATATGACGTTTCAAGAGAAAAATCGCATTCCCACCTCAACCATCCCGCGGGATCTACCAAATCGTCAATAAACAATTTATAATAACCGTCCTAGAAAATAGTTGCCATAGACGATTTAAATATGCTTTGAAATTGACTTTCACAAGGACTAAGTCCGGTGCAGCCAAAATCTTCCAATTAATTATAGAAATACTAGTTGGTTGACGTGAATCTTCCCGACCTTGAGCAGTATATGTGATTTTCTGGTTCGCACAACTGATGCATCACCAAATATGAAATCTACCGTGCCATATATACCGCATTCTCTATAAAAGTGTTCATGTGAATGGACATAAATGGTGTCTTGGTAGCTTTTTCGAAGCTACATTGCTAAAAAGCAGAGAGATCAGATTCGCTTCGCAATGCCACAAAAGATTAAAAGATTAAAAGAGAAGCTGAAATGTGATATGAAAAGTGAAGTTATTATATAACAAAATTCCTACGGTAACGATGATAAAACGAAGAAGAATGATAATTTATATTTTGTATGTGGAAAGGAATATTATCACGGAACAATACAGAAAGAAACAAATCTTTTAACTATATATTTGGATCTTTGTTCAAAATGAATAAATCTTTCAGAAATGTTACTAAATCACATAAAATGCATGGACTATCCAAAGACGGTATAAAATTTCCATGGAAAATTCATAAAATTTATCTGTTGTTATATATTGGTTTAATCATATATATATAATGTATTTGTTTAACCGATAATGAAGTGTGTTCGTGACAAAAGACATGCATAATAGGTTAATATATGACATGTTGTATGATATATAACATGCTATATCATATAAATATATAGTAGATAGCATATTATACTACGTTTTATTCTCACATTTATAAATAGTTTGAGTAATCACAAACATAATAAAATGTGATCATCAATATATATATGGTATATCATATATATGAAGTTACATTTCATTGTAATATTATATGAATAGTTTGTGTAATATATGTCAAATTTAAAATTTTCAAATTGTAACATATGGAGAAAAAAATCTTGTTTTTTACATATATATAGATGATAAAATAATTTAACTTTTAAACAAAGTATTAGACTAAACAAATATCAAATGGAAAAACAAATGATGAAAGAGGAAATAATTTAAAAGAAAAAAGCATTGTCAGTTTAGCATGATATGTTATAATTTCCACTAACAACAGTTTGACACATACTGACACAGTTTGATGCAACCATTTTCTTTTTTATGGGTAAGAGGGGTATTAAGGTCATTCTTAAGCCCATCTTGTTATTAATTAAAAAACAGTCTATTTCATTAAATACACTACTATGGCAGCATATACCATGGTAATTCCCTATTAATAAACACACTAGAAGATATCCCGAGCTATGCCCGGATTTGTTAATTATATATTTGTTTGCTATTTTGTTCATATAAAGATGATATTATAGTAATTTGTGATTTTATGTATTTAAAGACAATTATATAACTATATAACTAATGCTAATTTGATG